AGAAAGAGTTGAAGGAATTTTCAATGTTATGGTGTATTCAAGCGAACATAAGTAGAAACCGGACTAACTTTAGCTTAATGGAGTTGATTTTTGTAACTTTCCTTGTTAATAGAGACTACAGTGAAGAAACCATTGCCTAGTTTATGATCTTTGGGAACTCACTGGTGTGTCAAAATTGGCCGGGTGTTGAATGCTTTTTTCAGGGGTAAAAGAAAATGAAACTTGACGAAAATGAGAATATGATACTAAGAGCATATGAAATGGGGCGTTGGTAAATGTGGCAGCAGATGTCGAAATGCATTTGATAGGAGCCATTTGACCATAACATAATCTTTTGCAAAACAGGAGTACAGTCTGTTCGTACATTTTGGAATATCCAGCTTCTATGTTGTTAGTGGTATTATTGAATGTTGATATTGTGAGAAAATGATGTTATCAAGGAAGAAAGTAGCAACAATTTGGTAATTGGGGCAATTGAGTGTTGTTATACTCCTTGGAAATTTTCTGTGAAATGCATCATAAGTGCAATGCTGTTTCCAATTTTCAATGAAATTCATAGTTCTCGTTTTAAGATTTGCCATGTTCAGTGTCAGGAGGCTACAAGGTAGGAGGTGGGTTCCAATTAAAGAAAGAAGAAAATATATAGTTTAGAATTTGATGACTTATTTTATCAAGACATGGAGAATAGAATGAAGAAGATCTATTCTGCCTACACTGCTGGTTGAAATGAGTCGGGAAGATGTTATTTGAAATGTCAAGGGATAAGGCTATTTCCAGAACATTCTAATAGGTGGATAGTTATGGTTATTTTTTGCCTTCTATTTAAGAGAGTTATGCAATTACTTTACTGTTTTTGGAGGATATCTTGTCATCTCTCCTTTACTTCCTTCCTCTCTAATATTCTTTCTTCATTGATAGAAAAAAAACAAGTTTGATCGGTAAACTTTCCTAGTCATCCCCCACCTGGATGATGATGATTCAATTTCCTAGTCATACAAGTGTCTAGCTTTTTTTATTTTTATTTTTTGTGATGAAATACCTCCTTCCAGATAATGTTCAGGTAAGTTATGATTGTGGGCATCTGATCTTAGCTAAATTGTGCTCTAGAGTTGTTCATTAGATTTTTTATTTCCTTACAGGTCGTGGGACCATCATGATATCCTTTCTGTTACACCTGAATATAACATGAGTAGTCACTGTTCAACAAGTGCACGGCTGAGATCAGTTGCCCCTTACAGTGGTCGAAAGGAGACTGCAGTTTATGCTACTGATGTTCGGACTGGGGTTGTAATTCGCTGCAAAGTTTTCATTGATAATTTTTCCAGGATCCAGATATTCCACAATTCTATTAAGCTTGATCTAGATGGGCTTGCTACTCTTCGAGTCCGTGCCTTTGATAGTGAAGGTATTAGCATTTGCAATAATCACTTTGTATGGTCCAATTTCCAGTACTATATATATATA